TAATCCTGGATGTGAGGGAAACAGGTGGTGTGGGGCTTCCTCCCTCCTTATTCCCCAGAAGAAAGAAATACAGCTTCTGCTGGACATCCGCACTATCAACAAGCGAAGAGAAATTTTTCAGGCTGGGTGTGATAAATAGCTCCCCACGCTCTCTCCCTCCCACGGCTTTGCCAAAAATGATCCGGCAAAGCCGATGAGATCCAAACAAACTTCTGCTTTACGGAGTAACACACACACCCTGGGCACCAGAAAGGGCCAACTGTGAACGAGGGTCCAGCTGGGGGGAGCCAAGGGCAGTGGTCCCACCGCTGGGCTCCCTCTGCAGCGTGGGATCATCGGGTTCCTCCAAAACACCTAAACTAGGCTTCTGCCCATATTTTACTCCCCGCCCCCGGGAAGGTATCTGATTCCCGTTACAGCCAAGACAGTATCAAGTAATTTATCAGGTTAAATGAGACGCCAAACACTAGGCTGTAGAAAAGTATTGCATACATTCCCTCAAATAATAAAGGGGATTTTTCTGGCATTGTGACACCCGTTGAAAAACCAACAGAAATGCAGCAGATGCTAATTCAAAGTGTCCTTCCCAGGCCAGGAACCTGAGCAGCAGAACAAGTCCCTGGTACTGCAAATGCACAGTTTGCAATATCCAGGTCCCGTGGCTCGGAAGCGCAGGTGGAGCCACGTGCCAATGTGCACAAGCAAAACGGATGGTCGATAAATACAAGTGAAACCACGGAGAGAATCTGGAGGTGAATTTCCAAATCTAATCAAATTTGAGATCTCTACCAAGGGCTTTTGTCATATTCGTAGCAAGCATGATTTGGTTTGCTATTATATATTCATATGCTTCCATTCAGAACAACCTTGTTTCATTACAACGGATTCAGCTGTGCTTCGCAGTCCTGCTTCATTTCTTCCAAGGCAAATTCTTCAGGGGATTAACCTGACACATTTATTCCCCCGATAACATATCCTGTCTTTTCCGATATCACGACCAATTTCAAGCACATAGCAGTAAATAGGTTTAAATTTTTTAAAAAGTAGTGACTTGAAAGCTTTCTTGTTCCCACATTTTCTTGGTACAACACATTTCACTTCACAAGTAATGTTGTAAAATTCAGCTCAAGTAAATATAAAATAAATTATTAAGCTTCTAAGCAAAAGCTTCCAGACCTAAAACCCTTCTTTATTGGACCTGAAGAGCTCCAGCGCGTGGCACAGCTCTAACTGGAGTTCAGCCTTTAAGTAGCTCAAAGTGGCAATTGTTCTTTTCTAGGAGTTCAACATATTATTCTTATGCTTCATATGCACAGAAGACATTAGTGAAGATAAACTGTGCAACTGGTAATTGAAATTAAAGCTGCAACATCTATTACGGTAACATCCACCGTGCCACATCTCTAACACAGGGAGTGAAACAGCTTTTGCATATGAAGCACCAATTGCGATACCCACTGGAACAAAAATGCATTAAGAAATGTAATGAAATACATTTACGCAACATAAAAGTTCCTAAAACTACTTACATTGTCATTACCAGTCTTCCACTGTCTTGACAGATACAATAAGTAAAACCCCAGTACAATTCTGGGAGATGTGTCTGAGGAAAGCATGACTTTTTCTAAAACTCAAGAAGTTGCACGGCATTCACGGTAAAGAAACCTGTTCAAAAATCCAGTTTGCTCCTGAAAATATCGATGTATACAATGTCTACTCATCTAAAAAGGAGAAATCTGCATGATCTCTGGAAGAATTCTTTGAAAGTACCTTCCTAACAAAATTTCAGAAAATACCAAACAATTCCAAGATTTGAAAATCCGGATTTTTTATGAAATAATACATAGATAAGCTATATTATCTTTGGAATCCAAGTAAACATTAAGTGACTACAGTAGCAACAAAGCTATGTCAAAAGGGCCACCAGCGGAAAGAATATCCAGTTTAAGCACGCTCCTGGGACCATGCTTAGCATTCCAGGTCTTTAAAAATTTCTTGCAAATCAACAACTTTTTACAAGACTGTAAAATTTGCTTATCATTATCAGATCAGTAAACAAAAGCTTTTTTTTTTTAACTGATTAACACTGTAACTGCTAGTTTTTGTCGTATTAAAAAACACCCAGAAATTGCACCATGTCTGGCTGGGGTAAGCATGTTTTTAGAGATAATCTGGAGTCCTCTATGCAGAAATAACAACGCAGAGTATTTTATAGTAAGGTGCAATTAGAAAGATGAAGATCAAATTCCTATTTCCAAGGTGCTACATACTGTATGTGAAGATGATTTCTAAGGCACATGACAAACTTGGCTGCGTCATCTGCCCAAACCTGGTGACGGATATAAAATCATGGCTTGCTTTCCTTTTACAATAAAGATATTTATTTATTTTTAAAAAAAAAAAAATCTACTTTCCTAACTTTATACCTGATTTAATCACCAGGAACAAGTATTCCTTTCCTAGCCTGTAAAGTTCCCTGTAACTTGGTACTGGTACCTTCCAGTTGGGATCAGGACTAAATCAGTAGCTCTGTAAAATTTGACTGTAACTCAGATGAACTAAAGGACTGGATCAAAGCATGGTTATGCAAGGTGCTACTGCAGTCAAATGCAGCTTACTAAATATTTAAGACATATAAAATAAACACACAGAACTGCAAATCACTACAAACCAAAACGGTTAGCAGGATCTCTGCAAATGCCTCCTGGATAAGGATACATTATGTGCTTCATTCATTTTCTAATGAGCAATGTTCAGGGGTTTTATTATTATTAATTGCATATAAATTACCATGATTTTTATATCACTGGGAAAGTATTTAGCCATTCACCTCTCAGAGGAACAATGCTGAACAAAGGCAATGAATGCATGGCATATAAGAACAATGCAGAACACAGAAATTTATGCGTGCCATTTAAAAGGCACGGCATTTAGACTACTAGCAAAAAAATCACAAGTATGTCATAAATCTTTAATTGTAAGGAAAAAAAAAAGTCCAACTAATGGTTTGCCAAGTCCTTGATATTATTTAAGCAAGAACACTGCCTGCTTCTGGAGTGCAAAATCTCCTTAACTCACATATCCGCGTGTATCCCCAACCTCCTCTGAAGTGTTCTGCTGCAGAACTCATTGTATCCGAGATCTGCTAATCATCATCAGGAAACTCTGTTATGCATCTTAAGGACGTACTTTAGGCTCTCAAGAGGAAAAATAAACATGTTTTATTAGCTGCTTTTGGAAAATACTGATTTGTATTTATTTAGAAACCTTTTCAAGTTGCACCACTGTTAAATTAAATATTTATGGCATGATTTTCCAAAGAGTTTAACACCTGTTAAGAGTTTAACATGCTGACTTCAACAGGAGCTCCGAATGCCCAACATTTCTGCAAACCTCGGAAGGTACAAGGTTCAGCCGTGGTGAAGCAGCTCGAGCCTGGATGTTACTGCTGAGCTCTGAAATGCAACTGGGATCCTGACCAGCCCCTACTTCCCATCCCAGCACTGCATTTCAGACAACTGAATCGGCCACGTTTTATTAGAAATACCACAAGTAGGACTCATTAATACCCGTTAAGCCCAAATAAAGCATAGGCTAAATGCTGTTAGTTAATCCTCAGTGCATCTTCACTTTCCTTCACTAGCAGAAAACTTAGGTGCTTGGGCCATTAGACATGACCTCAAGTAGCAACTCACAGGGGAGACTAAAATCCACAGTGAGTCAAGAACTGGAAAGCAAAGCTGTTGATATTAAGAGTGAGAAGTTGAATGAGGATGAAGCCATCTTGGTAAAAGACAGAATAAAGAAGGTACAGCAAAGAAAAAGATTTTTGGTACACTGCAAAAACCTGCATCCCGGTGACAGTGAGGCCAGAGGCACTGTCTACAATGTTTGGCTGAGAAACAACTTTGGCTTTGGCATTTGGCTTCTCAGCCAAAATTGAAGACTGCGCTTCTGGCCTCACCATCAAATGAAGTCAAAATAAGAGGTTTGGGTCTAGTCATCCTTATTTTGCTTAGCTTCTGAAGGACATGCACTTACTAACCCTCCCAGTGTCACACTTTCAGGTGCCCTGCATCTCCCATTGTTGTACAAATAGATGATTTCTCACCGCCCTCCCACCCTCCCTGGTCTCTTACCCACTCTCGGCTGCAACACATGCCTAAATCTGAACTATGGAGCAAAGACACCGTCTTCCATTTCAGAATGAAATACCTAAATTTCTTTGTGGCATCAGGCCTATACTTCTGTGTATTTTAGGTAGTAAAGAGCATATAACATCTAAGTAAGAAATTACTATACATAGGCATGATTCAAATGATCATCTGACATGATTCCATAAACTGAAGACGAATAAAATAGTTGAATATTGCAGAGAGGACACATCAATCTCCTTAAACGCTTTACAGCACACTACAAATCTGCCCGGCAAGTCGAATATTTTACTCATTAAAATAGTAGCTTTCATCACACTATAAAACATTTGCAAATGCAGACCAGAAAACCGACAAACATATTTACTGTAAAGCTCTATATTTGTCTCATCAATTAACAACAAAAGTTTGGAATAAAACTAAACTAAAAGCTAATCAAAACAGTTAGCTATCAAAACAGATGGGAACTATATTTTTCAAACCAAGCAAAAAGCCAAAACTTTCGAACATTTAGTGTCATGTCAGCTGATACACACAACTTCGAAAGGAAGGACAGCAAATGTCAGGAGCATATGAAGAAAAGGTGTCCCCGGCTGAAAGATTCAAGTTTATGAATTTCCATTGATTTTTTTTTTTGGCTTCAGGATGATTAACTTGCACCAAAGCAGACCTCTGATACGTGAACTATAAATAAGGTGCCACCGCAACACTGCGGGCAAAATAAATAAAAACAGAGCCCCGACATTATTTTAGCCTCAAACAAATGTTTCAGTCCCTACATTGTCTGGCTCAGAAAGATACATAGACAGTCTCACAGACAGAGATATAAATGAACAATTGCAGTACCTTTTTCCCACACTGTTTACAGGGTTGGCTATATTCCTACTGGCAATAGATTTTCTTCTTGACAGCTTCTTGGTGTTGGTGCTGTCATCAGTGCTGTCATCCTCTTTCTTTGGTGTGTTACTTCCTTTGCTGTTCAGGTCCCTTAGCACATTATAATTAATTTTACTTGAGATTTTCTTCTGTTCTAACATCTTTTCAATTGCCTCTCCTGCTGTGCTGGCTTGAATTGGCTCCCGCTTCTTTGCAGATTTCTTTGGCTTAATTAAAATATAAAATTAGTGATGTAGATACAAACAAAGTTTCCGTGAAGCAGAAGGGCGAGCTGCAGCTCAGCAGTCCTGGCTCAGGTGCTGCTGATGCAGGGATGCAGGCGATGTAGCCGGGCTAAGCCAGCGATCCCTCTCCTGCCACTCAACAGGACCGAGAGGTCTCTCTTCTCTGAGAGATAAGTGTTCGCTTTTTGCCAAATAGTTTATTACAAATTCTTTACTTAGTATTTGTAACGCTGCCAGAGAAGAAACATGGGCCATTTCTCATGCATGAAAAAAAAAAAGGGAGTGAAGTCCTGTTATGGGAACAAGGACCCTGACAACATTACCCAGCGTGGAAATAAAGAAATTCCTCTGCTAAAATTGCCTTTAAAGTCAGAATCAAGCTGGGTCACAACTCCCCTAAGCACTGACAACTCCGTATCAAAACTGCAACAGTACTTTACATCAAGTTTGAATGCGACATGGGACAGCATCTACCCAGGTTCTCCCCCCCCGAAAAAGGCCAAGAACATTAGCGGCAGCTTTCTAAGCGTGGACTGGCACTAACGCCGAGGGCTGGGAAGCGGGAGGCTGCAGCAATGTCACCTGCAGCAATGTCACCTGCAGCCGCCCTTCCCAGGCAAGCGCTTCAAGCCCGAGCCCCGCGCTGGGCTACGGGGGCTGACGCTGTGCAGAGCCAGCCAAGGAGAAGTGACACTGGAGAACATTTCCAGCCACGTCCAGTGCCTGGGTAGGTACAGGGAAAAAAAAAGAACCTCTGTTTCTCATTCGGCATTTTCCTTTTCAAAGGAAGGTTTTAACACCAAGCTCTGCAGGAGATTTATTTTTTAATGGATAATAGCCCCTCTGTTTACCTACATGGGTCAAGTGCTACCTTAAAATTGGAAAGCAGTATATTAATCAAGTTCTACTCGAGCTGTCAGAAACAATACAGACTTAGAGAAAAACTCCTGTGTTGTCCGAACAAAAAGGTGGGTGTTTGGGCTACTTGGCGGTGCCAACGAGTTATACAATTTTGAAAATTGCTGGTAGACTGCCACGTCTCCATAAGCGCAGGATGAATGAGAAACTCTGAAGCATAGAACAGTGTTTCATTGTCTGGTTTTGTTTTTATTGTTGAAATACCTAGGGGAAGTAGGAAACTCTGTCTTTCGCATTAGTTGGAAAAAAAGATAGAGAATATATGCACTAAAAACTAACATGGATTTTAGTTGCGTGTGGAAGATTTGACTTGTCACTTGCTCAATTACACAAAATACTAATGCCGTAAATCGTGAATATACGGCCAATTAGGCTGCTTTAAACTGCTAAACATGGAGACAGGACATGCCATTTGTTAACATAACTGTCGCATTCTTTATGAAAGGTAGAACAAAATACTCCTTCAAGTGACTGTAACAAGGATCTGTTCAGTTCTTCATAAAGAAATCATTATTGCAAGAGCAAAGAAAGCTACTGAAGTTATGGCAAGTACAAACAAATTCCCCATGCGCACGTTAAAAAAAAAATTAGGTATGTCTTGAGACCTGTATTTAAATAAGCAAGCAATTAGGACAGCAATCATAAATGCAAAGAGCCAGATCTGACTTTGCCATGCACAGAATTTTCTCACAAAAGTAATTTAAAATAAAAATTTGGGCAAGAAAGTGGTTTACTCACCACCTGAAAAAATTATAGCCTTGTATTTCAATAACAGGTAGGGATACAATAGTTTTGGTTGTTTAGCGGTGACCTGTACCATTATGCCCACACATCCTACATGGAGTTGATCAGCAAATGTAATGAACTTCCAGGACATTTTCAAACAGACACAATTAGCACACAGTTTTAATACCTTGTGTTCCTTATAAATCCCAAGTTCTTTCTCTTTTGCTATTCTTGCTTCCTTTTCTGAAAGATGACAAAAGGGTAACCAGCATGAAGATTACACAGACTGCATATTTCAGCAACATTGGCCACAAGGAGAATTTCAGTCCTATATGCTCACCTTTTTGTTCCTTCAAATAATCTGCATTTTCTTTCATCCACAGCTCTGCTTTTATCTGAGCTTCTGTTTCGTTAAGTATATACTAAAAGACAAAACAAGTTTATCTACTTTTAGAAATCAACTTGAAAAGCATAGAGCAAACCTGAACTGAAAAACCACTGGCAAGGTCGATTCACATTCTGTTTTTAAAAATACATTAATGAAAGAAAATATGGCCAAGATGTGATAATCAGAGAGCATTTCTAGTACTTCTAAAGCTGGCAAAAAACAACAGCGTGTTTTCAAAAAACAGTGCTTGGTTTCCAAACTATGATGGGGTGACCAACAACCATCCAGGACTCATTGTACTTGGTCTATAATTAACCTAAAAGGATCCTGGGTTTATGGTCTTTTTCAGATGATACGAGAGAGTACCATGACAACATGGTCATCTGCAAGTAATTCTGCATGTTGATGGTGGTCTGTAATTCAAAACAGTATGGGAACCATTGCCCTGTGCTACCAAAACAGAACCATGTGTCTTCTGGGTAGGTTTCTGCGAAGGTTTAGGCATAGTTACTGAGATTATTGGTTCAACGGCCACATCTGTGTGAACGAAACCAGCTTAGGCTGCCGGAGATTTAGTCTTCTAGATTTGAGAGACTTGGGTTCAGTAACCACACCTGGGGTTTTTTCAGTTAATTCCACTTAGTTTCGGTAACATCATTAGCAGGTGTGGAGGTGTAAAACACATCTAGAGTGATTCAGATGAATTACAGAAATAAACAAACAGGCAGGTAGCAGGCAGGTGGGCAGATTGGCAGACAGATCTCCTCTTCAATTACTTAAATGTAACAACAAACCAAATATTTAGCACAACAGCCCATGAAACAAAAGTTCTCTATGGCTGATGCTGATTGGGAGTGAAGAACTTCTGCAGAATGGAGAAGACAAATTGGGTCATTATTCATGAGCAAGACACTTTATTTTTAAGCAGTGGACCAAAGATTTGTAAAATGATGTTTAAGTGCAAGAAAAACAGTTTGAGATTTCTCCATTTTATGGGTTTGAGCATTTGAGATTTTCTCTGAAGTAAGATGTACATATAGGATTTTATGAGAAAAATAACTCCAGTCAAACGAAACGAATGCAGTGAGGAGCCCTTCCTCCAAGGGTGAACGAGGTGAGCAAACAGCTGTGCAAGTCCTGCTTTATCAGACCAATATTTTCACTCTTTCATCTGCTTCTATTAAAGGTGAGCCGTAATAGTAACTCGCTTCCTCCTAGCTCAGTTATTCATCCTTCTTATGATTTTAGAGAGTTCATAATCTTGAGCTTAGAATATTATAGTCTATTGCCATGGAAATAAACATGTGGTCATAAAAGCAGAGTTATGACCTCATCACAGAGCCTAGGAGGAGGAGAAAATGTTCTTCTCCCATGTTTGTTTAAATTATGGACCTGCTATATTAAAAACCTTCAGCCTCCCTGCTCCCTCCATACCACATCTGCTCGACTCACAAGATCCCTCCTAACACCCAGCCTAGCAAAACCCACTTCACAGCTAAGTCAAGCTGAGCATTTTCCTGCTCCTTCATCCATCACCAACAACCTTCTGCAGATCAGAAATCCCTATGCAAGCTTATTGCTCTCAATGATTTTGTACCCCAAACAGGGTTTTTGGCACTGGCATTATCTGTTCAAATTTCACTTTAAACCAGCGTGGTGGCTGGAGAGGGCGTCAGGCTCAGAGCCAGGAGAGATGGACTCTGTCATGTGTTCAAGTGTTGACCGGCTGTGTGGCCTTCAGCAAGCCCCTTCCCACAGCTGGCTGGCTGTCGTATTCAGGCTACATGGTAAAGGATATCTTTCCCTGCCACACAAATAATAATAATATATCCAGAAAATGCTACAGAAATCCTTGAAAGAACACAGAAGCTGTATATGCTGGTTTTACAGTTTGGTTTCCATGGCAGCCTCCCATGTTGAATATATCTTAATTAAATAATTAATTTAGAGCTCCACCAAACTTTTAAAAGTCCTTCCTCAGAATAAAAGACATTCTAAACCATAATTATTCCAGCATGGTAAGAGCAAGCAGTCTCGTTATATATAACTTGGGCAAGGAACACCAAATTGGCTTGCCTGAACATTAGTTTTGATCTCAGATCACTGAAATCGCTCAAACCTCTCCATAGATCAGAGCGAAAAGGCAGTGAGGGGAGAGGATAAACCAGGTAAGAATCATTTCGGCTTTCTCAGATATCCAAACACAGAGACACCCGGGATAAGAGGGCACCTTACCCGATCTATTTCACTGTCGTCAATCCCACTCAGATCTAATTCACCGTCTCCCGTGTTGTCACCTACAGAAAAGAACACATTTTAATGAAGCGGATGTTTGTTCAAAATCAATCGCAACATGCACACACAAATTCACCACACTGAATTAATTTAAAATTTGGGAATTGGTACAGTCCTCTTTGGTACGAAACACTTCCAATTGCCTTTTTTTTCCCCATTTTAATTTACAGCCACAAATGTTCACCAGGAAGCTGGAGAGACCATTTTAGGATGATGACTGTCCTTCTTTCATCAGAGCATGAATTTCTCTGTCAGAGCCTATAGGTCAACGATTCATCCGTAAATTATGACTTAGAAAATATTTTCTGTTTTCAGGGAAGCAGCGTGGACCAGTGAATAACACATCACGCTGACAGTTATACCATGGCTTGCTTCTTAAGTCTGATCTATCAGCATTTGAACCACTTACCTCATACCCACTTACCCACATTTCCAAATTTTAAAATAACTTTTAAAAGCTATGGAAGGATCTAATAAATGTTAAATGGTAATGACTTCCTGTAGTCACAATTTTGCTGTAATTTTTCTAGTTTTGTATTTATTAAGACTTCTTCTGAAAACACATTTTTGAATATTCTGTCCATTAAAACGCATAACAGCACAGAACTGAGGCCTAATTTGGGACTGGCACAATGTACAGCAGCAAAACCTGATTTTCCACATCCCATCAATATACACCAGTAATACACTATTAATGTAGTCCAGGTAGAGACTGAAAATAAATTATTCAGCAAAGACTTATGCTGGGGAATGGAACAATCTTCTTGGTCATCTCCATTACATCTAATCAAAACTAGACAAGAGATGACCTAACCAGTTTACCTGCAGAAAAAACAAACAAATTAAGTTTCAACAGTCTGCAGTAACCGAATCAAAACTGCAATGATGCAGAGCAGCTTGGCATCTCCATGGGTTCTGCTCCCCAGTCCCAGGGACGTGCCTCCCCACCAATAAGACCTTGGAATGGGCTGGTTCCCCAGCCTGGTGCTTTCTCGCAGAGCAGAGCTCCCGTGCAGCGCGGCGCTGGGCCAGTGGCGGAGGGGGAAGGCAGCTGCAGCTCTCTGATCCAACGGCAGGTCATGGCAACGCAGAGCCCCGAGGCTTGGGGAGCACCAAATGGTGAAGACAAGCAAAGGTAGGAAGTATGAGCATTCCCAGAAGATAGGAACAATGCCCTGCTTGGCAAAACTCAGGCGTTTAAACCAGTTGCCTGAAGTACATGAAATCACAGGGTCGGGAATCCAAGCGAAACGACTAGGTAGGACAAAAGGCTGCGCTTCTTGAGGCAGTGCAAAGGATCTGGCTGCTCGACTCAACAGACATTTACTGATATCAGACACCGAGCGCTTACAAATGTCTTTTCCAAATCCACCTTAAACAACCAACAGAAAGCTCTGAACTCTTTCCATACCAAGTCATACGCGAAATGGGTTTCACCGCAAAGAAAAAGTCCTCTCGCAAGGAACCACATAACACTGAGCTTTGATTTTCTTCTGAGATTGTCTCATAAATGCAATATCAACTTTACCAATTCAGATAATCTGATGCTAATATGACTGAAAAGGCCTCAAGGAACATTCCTCTTTGCTGTCACATTTAGAAATTAACAGTACTTCAGTCCCAGGCACCGGATTTACTTTACAACCTTTTTCCCCAAAAATACTTTAAAAGTGTAAAGTATTTTATAATACCTACGTAATTGCTCAGTACATATGCTTTTCTCCTGGCCTGATCTCTCCATAGTGCAGTAAGAGCAGAACTTTCTGCACCAGGGCCAGCAGCTCCTTGTGTAGGCACCCCGCTACCAGGCAGGCAGCGATGTGCCCCAAGGACATGGCAAAGCACACCCTGGCTCGGGGCTGGAGAGGAAAAGCAAGGTGACAAAATACATCCCGGTGGTTTTCTGCCTCTTTAATATAACTCACTGGAATTTTTTTAGCAAACCATAATCATTCAAAGAGCAGAGATATTCTGCATCACCCATGAGAGTCCAGGGAATACTGCAAAACAGCACTACACGTCTCAACTGCTGGAACCGGGATATAAATTTCCAGTGAGCAAAATGCTTAAATATTCACTGAGGAAAGCAGTAAATACCGTAGTCTAGTGTCTGAGACACCTTCCTAAGAGATTGTCCACCTGGGTCCAAGAAATATTTCATTGCACAAAATAAAATAGCACAACATCAGAGTGCAAGAGTCTACCCAGGCCAGAATAGCCCATCTCCTAGGTTGGAGGGAGTTTGCACAGAAATGGGACTCGAAATGGGTCTCCCATATTCTGGGTAAGCACTTTAACCACCAAGTTGTAGGACAGAAGGGGGAATGGCCTCTCTTTTCTATGTGTTATCTACCTTTTCTTTCCTCAAAGTTTTGGGGAAAAAACATCAACTTACAATTTGGTTTACCTGAGCAAATAATGGATTCTCTTTCTTTTCCACATTCATTGCACCAGATAAACTGAAATGTCAGCTATCCACACAGACTTGGAATTAGGGACAAAGAAAAAGGGAGCCAACCTCAAAAATCACTAGTAAGTAAGTTCTGAAAATTGCAGGCTAGAAAATCAAAATTTGGAAATGGTGACAGAACTACTCAAGTCACTGCTCAACCTTACATAAAATTGCATCCCAAAATTATTTGTTGCAAAAACTGCTGCAGCATCTGAAGAATAATAAAAATATTCCACTGAAATCAAGCTGCCACTGGTTTTATTCATCATTATACACCTTACTCCTCCTATACCCTGCTATATTTTTAGGTAAGAGGTTTAAAATTTAATATGTCACAGTACAGTAGGTGCCTGTTCCCTTATACAGCCCTAATATGCCAGACTGAAAATGATGTAATTTCAGGCACCATGAACAATTTCACATGTCATTTTAAATATAACTTGCTACTGAATTAGGTGCCAGTTTTTCTCATTGGATCAATTAGCAACGGGGACGGAAAACTCATTCTCCAACTGGTAAATTGCAGAGAAGAATCCAGAAGCAAGTTATACATAATAAGCATTTCTTAGACTCCATAACGGCAGCAGAGAGAGTAATTGCAGGATATCCCTCTGCCTGCAAGTTGTCCTTTTCCCTGCCAAGGCGATAGGCATTCATTAAATGCAAGGGGCTTTTCAGAAGAGGAGGTGCCTTCAAATACCTTGTTTAACGCTTTCACTGAGAAGAGAAAAAAAAAAAAAGTCTTTTGTTTCGGAATGCCAATTCCAACCAGAATACATCCGTTTGATCTGAAAATTTCCACAGCAATCATTTCCAACAGGAGTAGACCCTACCAGCCATAAATACCCATCTGCTTGATGTTATACGGCTCACTCCAGGGCACGGAAAGTAAACCCCTTGCTTTTTTATAGACCAGAAAGATCTTCCCAGCTGCTAAACTTTTCCAAACAATTTCTAAATGATCATTTTCTCTTTTAATAAAAGGGTCGAAATGAAATGTTCGACAAAATAAAAACACAGATGTGGCCAACATCTGGTCCAACCTCTTAAAAGCTTATTTAAAAGCAGTAGCATCACGTGGCACGGCTCTTAGACGTTGCGGATTTCTTCTGTTAAGAAAAACAACGACTTTACTGCAGGGCACAGGCAAAAAAATAAGTTGGTCATTCAAAACATACACCCCCCCC